CCCTCTCTCTTCCCCTCTCCCACCTCCTTTTCCCAGTCTCCCCGAGTTTTGTTCAATAAAGAGAGTTTCTATTTTTGAACACACGTGTCCTTTATTTTGTACATCAGGAAGGGGGGCTAGGGAGGGGTAAGTGGAAGGAGGTGAGGGAGGAATGGGGTACAAGCCCCCAATGGGGAGGACTGGGCTGGCTCTGCGGGCTCCTCGGGGTGGAAGCTCTCCTGCAGCCCCCCGATTGACCACCGCCCCCCAGATGGCAGCCTGCGGCAAGTGCAGCCGGGCTGATGGCCGAGTGCTGTGATGTGCCAAGTGTGGGCATTCAGGGCACTCCAAGCCAGGACTGCTTTGCTGTCCCTCATTGAGTTAGACAAGAAAGCGGGGAACCCCTGAGAACTGTCTGTCCAGGGTGCGGGTCGGGTCCCTTTAAGCACAGCCTTCAGCTAGCCTGAGACAGCAGCTCCACGCGCTAAGTCCTAACCTGATGCCCTGCTGGCACTGCTTCCGGCCAGCCTTAACCTCGGTTCAGGGTCCACTCAATGTGGACATGCTAGTTCGAATTAGCAAAATGCTAATTCAAACTAGTTTTTAGGTCTAGATGCACTAGTTCGAATTAGCTTAGTTCGAATTAACTAATTCGAATTAAGTTAGTTTGAATTAGTGCTCTAGTGTAGATATATCCCTAGATTCTTTCTTTCAAATACTGGGGTATTTTTCTAGGTCATTTATCTACCTGGGACCCAGAGTACGTTTCCTCTCCAAAACTCCTGTGCTTCTTTCTAACACCTAGGCACTTTCTTGGCCAAACTCCATACTGATGGGGTTGCACTTTCTCTCTAGTACTGGTCCTGTTCTGGAACATTAATCTGTCTTCCTGGCTCAGTGGGAATCTTTTCTATGCCCTCTGACCACTGGGGATGCCCCCAACAGCAGACTGAGTCAGATGGAGCCGGGATGTCACAGGAAGTGTGTGTGCGTTTGTGTGGGGGGAGGAGGAGGGAGACAGAGCTATTGCTGCATACCCAGGGCAGTCTGAGGACGAGGAGGAAGATGCATTCTGGAAGGCTGATGTGTCTGCTGGGGGGAGGCGCATTCTGTGACATTGTGGGACTGTTTTTTTTGGGGGGGGTAGATGCATTGTGGGAGTTTGAGGTGACTGTTATGGGTCAGGTGCATTCTGGGAGGTTGATGTGACTGGTGAGGAGGCATGTGTATTCTGGGACACTGACATGACCCTTGTGGGGGGCAGGTGCATTCTGGGAGATTGATATGCCAAGAGGGAGGCAGGTGCATTCTAGGTAGTTGATGTGAACATTGCGGGGGAGCAAGTGTGTTATGAGAAGTTGATGTGACCAATGAGAGGGAGGTGCATTGTGGGATGCTGACGTGACCGGGAGGGGAACAATACTGTATTAGCAACAGCTGCAGACAGAATAGGGCTCTGTGGTCAGGGCTTCAGGAAATCACCCCATATGCTCCCCTGTAGCCGCATCTTCCGGCCCTTGCTCAGATGGCTGGCTGTGGTGTGGGGGCGGGTGGGGGCTGTCTCAGTGCTGAACAGGGAGATCAGGGACAAGCAGCTGCCTAACATAGGCACAGTCTGTGACACACAATAGCTGGAGCAAAACCACCTAGACACAGGCCTGATAGCAGGGGGCACTGGGCCCAGGAGTGGGACCTGGATGGCTCAGGGTGTGGGAGAGACAGGACCTATAAGGTCCTCACAACTGGGGTGGGTTACAGGGCTCGGCCTGGCCAACAACAGAAAGAGTAAAAAAAACAGGAACTTGCACAAGTACCTGGCACAGAAGTTTCCTCCTTCAGAGGTGGGGGGTGGGGGTGCTGGGCACAAGGGGCTGAGGCTCCCAGCTTGGGGTGATCCCCCCAGGGATAGAAATAGAGCTGCTGCCCCACCCCCAGCTGCATCGGCATCCCCTGAATACATCTGCCCCCTGCACCATCCTCCCACTCCCTACACCACCCCAGTGCCTCCCCCCCGCCTCGCATTCGCACTTCTGCTTTCGGTGAGGTTGCTGAGCCTAGCAGAGAGTGGAATCAATGGGGGAGGGTGTCAAATCCTCCAGAGACAGTGGTGGGGAGAGGGGTTTAAAGGAGAACAGCCAGGGAAGGGGGGAGGTCAAAAGGACGTAATGCTGTACCCCAGAACTGAACTTGCCCCTCAGCTAGTTGTAAACCTGCCCACCTGGGACTGACTCCCCCAAACCTGCCCCTCCCACAATGACTCCCCCCAGCTAGGGTTCCAAACACCTGCAGAACAACGCCTGCCATGGCTCCCCCATTCCCAGCCCTTCCTTGGTCTCTGGTTTCCCAGGATGCTTCCCCAGTGACAAACCAGGTTGGGGAGAGCTCAGGGAGAGGCAGAAACAGCAGAGAGAGAAACAGGGAAGGGAAGCAGCAGATCAGCTTCTGCCACAACGCTGACGGTGCCCCTCACTCCCAACCTGCAGCCCGTACAATACCAAGGCTAAGACCCATCAAACTCGTTTCACTGGTGAGCTGCTCTGTATTAGAACTGAAGTTCCCATCCCAGCCATTCTTGGCAAGGAGGGGTGTGTGTGGGTGGCCCCCACTTCCCTATTGGTGGTTGGCTCAATTTGCCGCAGATGAATGCCTGAGCTCCCCTCCCGCCCTCACATGCCAGAGCCACATCCATGGCGTGTGGATACATGGGGGAAGTGGGTGTCTGCATGAAGCTCATGGTTGGGGGCGGTGCTGGCTCAGAAGCCCTAGCCCACCTGTGTGCAGCCCTCAGCTCAGGGGAGACAGCAGGGAGAGGCCCACTCACACTACTCCTGCACCCCACATCCTTCTCCCATTCCCCCCACCTCCATACCCTCTTCCTGTTCACCCCTCCCTCCAGGACTCTCTTCCAAAACACAACCCTTCCCCATGTATAGCCCTGCTGCCATGAGGGCAGAGAGGAAAGCTTGGTTCCCAGAGCTTGCTCCCCACCAACCTTTCTTCTAGCCTGGGGGCTGAGGCCCAGGATGGGAGGTGCCTTATTCTACTGGAGATGACTGGCTTAAGACCCAGCAAGCTCATCTTACTAACAGCAACCACCTCCCCTATCAACCTGGGGCTCAGTCAGAGCTGGTGCCCCCTGGAGGGGAAAGGCCCATTTCCCAGTCTCTGGTGCAGAGAAGCTAGTTGGATGACCTAGGCCAGTGGTCACCGACCAGTCGATCGGGATGTCCTGGTAGATCTTGGTGATCCTGACTGGCTTGGCCAAGAGGCTGTCAAGCACTGCACTTCTGCTGCCCCTTTGCATTTCCTGCCCCTTGCCTTGGAGCTTCCCTCACCCCGGGAGCCTCCTGTTTGATGGGTATTGTACGGGCTGCAGGCTGGGAGTGAGGGGCACCAACAGCGTTGTGGCAGAAGCTGATCTGCTGCTTCCCTGTTTAAAAGCCTGTCCCTCAGGGGCCCCACCCCAAGCCCTGCAGAGCAGGGAAGGGAGAGGAGGGGGCTCTGATGTCAGCAGGCCCCCTCCCACCCTGTATTCTATCTCCACTGAATGGGGAGGGATGGAGGGAGGGTACAGGCTCTGGGCTTGGGATGGAGGGAGTTTGCTGGCTGCTTTTGAGAGTGGTTCAAGGCCAGGGCAGGGGTGATCCTGCCTTAGCCCCACTGCACCACCACCCAGGAGCGACCTGAGGTAAGCAGGGTCCAGTTGTAGCCAGAATCCTGAATCCCTGCCCCAGTTGTGAACCTCCTCCTACACCCCAAACCACTGCCCTAGCCCTGAGCCCCCAGGACCCAAACTCCCTTAGAGAGCCTGTACCCTGAACCCCCTCCTGCACCCCAACTCCCTGCTCCAGGCTTAGCTCAGAGCCCCTCTCACACTCCAAATCCCTTCACCCAAGACCAGAGTCTGTGCCCCAACCCTCTGCCCACTGCCCCAGCCTGGTGAAAGTGAGGAAGGATGGGAGAAAGGGGGATGGAGTGAGCAGGGGTTGGGCCTCAGAGAAGGGGCACGAAGGAGGCGGGGCAAGGGTATTTGGATCTGAGGTAGATCCTGGATTGCACTTAAATTCAAAAAGTGATCCATCTGCTTAAAACGGTTGGAGACCACTGACCTAGGCTATGTCTACACTGCAGAGTTTTTCCGGGATACCAGAAGTATCCTGGAAAAGCTCTACCACATCCAAGGAACGTATCTGCTTTTCCAAACAAAATGTCAGAAAAGCAGATGCATTTTTTCACCATCCTTGTAAACCTCATTCTATGAGGAAGAAGGGATGTTCCAAAAGAGGGTTTTTTCAACATTTGGCTCCATGTAGATGGGCCAAATGTCGGAAAAGCCTCTTTTGGAAGAAAAGCAGAAAAAGATACGCAAATTGCAGTCCACAATTTGCATATCTTTTTCTGACTTTTCCCTGCAGTGTAGACATAGCCCTAGTTGCTTGCTGGAGCATTAATGCAGGAAATACCTGGCACAATCCAGTGCCCCATTACTGCAATAGGCAGCCCCACGCCATCCTGGAAACACACACATGCCAGGTGACAGACCCCCCAATTTATCCTCAGCTTGGGGGTCAGACTGGAGACAAATCAATGTTTGTTGGTGTTGTCCAGAGAGTGTGTGGAAGTCCAGGGTCTCCATGGGATGGGGCTTGGCAGGGAAAGGGTTAATGAGAGATGAATGGCTTGGGCAGGGTTGTTGCTTGGTGTCTACTAGGGACCAAATGTGGGGGGTGGTGACAGCAGTGCTTGGTGGCTGAACCAACCTCCTCTCGAGCTCCCATATTACCTCCATGGCACAGTACCCTCTGCCCCACACAGATGGGTTGGGTGTCTCCACTTCCCTCCCCACACATGAGAAAGTGACTCACCCAGCTCCCCGGGATGTGGGGGGGGAACAGCGGCTGAGCCCAGGGGTGTCACAGGGACCTGGAGGAACAAAGAGCAAGAAATCAGTATTTCCTGGGGGAACCCTTGCCCAGCACTGAGATGCAGCCACCTCTGGGGTGGGATGCAGGGACTGTTTGTACAGAGCTCCCTCCCCTGGCACTGAGTCATCTGTGTCTGGGGATTTGTTTAACAGCTGCACATTGACAGTTCCCAATGATTTTGGACAGGAGATGAAAGAGGATCTTGCATGCTGTAGTAGCAGCAGAGGAAGAATCAGGAAGCTATGGGGCTCTAGCTGGGACTCTTTTTTTGGACCCTGGGGTTCACTTCCCTTGTCAGGGAGGAGGGGAAGCTTGGGGGCAGGGCTGGGGCTGGATGTCTGTGAAGGTGGGAGATGCTTCCATTGCCTCCCTTGACTTCCAAGGGTGAAGGGGAAACTGGTTTGGCCGTGGGGAAAGAGGACCCCAGTGGGGGCACTCAGTTTCAGAGTGTGATGTCAGTTCTAGCTACGATGGCAGGAAGCACAAAAATTCACCCATTTAAACTAGGGGATGGGAGGGGGGGCAGACACATGGCCACAGCTGCATTGCCATGGACACCAGGATTTGGCCCGAGCCCTGCTGGGACCCGTTGCCAGTCACACTTATTTTGCCCTGGGGAAGCACCCCTTGCCTGGGAGAGCCCCTCCTCACCCAAGGAACAATGGGTGGATATGCAGTCCCCCCGCACATGCTGCCCTTGGCTGTTTCCTCCCACCCGCCCTAGCCCCTTGTCAGCCAAAACCGCTCCCCCCCCCACCTGACTCCCAGACGGGCTCCACTGCTCCAGTGCGAGGGATCCCCGATAACCTGCACCCGTGAACCCCTATCAGCCTGGGAGCCACCCACATTAGCCCCCTGACATTCCTACATCCCCATGACAGGCAAAGGGCTCGGTACCTGGGGGTCGGTACCTCAGGTCCAGACGAGCTAGGCGGCGCGGACGCTCTGACTCGCTTCCTGCTGTGCGGGAAGTGATGGCGCAACCAGGAGCCCAACCCCCCTCTTCTCCATCCTCAGGAAAGAGCCAGGCCCCGAATGTGACCTGCCGACACCCCACCCCCAAACCGGTGAGCAACTTCCTGGCCGCACAGATGGGCTTAACAATCACCCCTGCTTCCGCTCTGCCAGTGCCCCACAATCCCAATCCACAGCCCCCTGAAATCCCAGCCCTGGACTCCCCTCTGCCCTGCTGGGTTCCTCACTCCTAGCTCACACTCCCCTGCTATCCCAGCTGTGGATCCCCCACCTCTACCAGGGCCCCTCACTCCCAGCCCTGGGCTTCCTGCTTCATGCAGCCCAGCCCTGAACCAACCAACTGGTGTTTTGCTCTTTCCTCTGCCGTTTCAAAGTGGAAACCACAAATCGGTGCCTCATGGCCACAGGGAGATAAAGGGGAGCTGTGGATCTGGCACTGGCACTGCGGGGGTGGGGAGCCCAGGGCTAGGATGGCAGGGAGCTGGGGTCAGTATTGAGGGGCACTAGGCAGAGCTCTATGAATGTTAGGGGATCCCCGTTACTGGCACCAGGGTGTGCTCAGCCAGCCCCCAATGCTGCTCCAGGAACTCTGCAGCTGGTGCCCCCTGGCCCCTGTTGAGCTTAGGAAGAGGCCGCCCTTGCCTAGCCCGACACACAGTGGTGGGGGCGGATGCCATTTGTGCTGCGTCACCCCAAGGCTGCTGCCCTCAAAGGGGCCATTCAGGGACGTGCAGCATGAGGCAGGGAGGCACTGACAGCCACTGAACAGAACGTTAACCCGGGTGTAAGGGACCCCAGGTATTTGCCAGGATGCTCCTAGGCCTCAGTACCCCAAGCTCCAGTGCCTAGGGGCCTTAATGTGGCTGTAGTGTTGGCAGGACCCGTCCCCAACCGTCCCCCTCCTAGGCCTTCACCCCACCCCTGCATCTGGCCTATCTTCCAGCTAGAGGAGGTGGAATTCAACCCGCCTTGAGCCCCAGCACAATGAGATCTTTAAAGCTGCCCCCCATCTCTTCCCCTCCTCCCTCACTGTCCAGCTCAGCAGCGCCTAGGCCCTACGTCTCCCTTCTTCCTCTCACCCACCACTGCACGACAGAATCCTAGTTCCCACCCCCCTCCCTGGATCTAACCACTAGACCCCTCGTTTCCCTTCTCAGAGCTGGGATAAAGCTCAGGAGTCCTGGCTCCCAGCCCCCACCTCAAAGCTAATCACTGGACTGCTCCTGTCTATTGTAATTAATTGTTTGAGTTATAAATTCACCATCAAATTATTCCTTTGAGCAATCCCATCAATTTAACGCTCTAGCAACCACCTGGGTATGTCTGTCTGTCTGCCCCGTCTGGGGTCCTGCTTGCGACAGGGGGCAGCAGAAAGGCTGATGGTGCAAGGGGTTAGGGCTGGCATGGTCAGGGGCTGCGGGTTGAGACTGAGGGCACTGGCAGGGCTGGGGAGCTGTGTATGGTTTCATTCATATTCACCTAATGGCAGGATACTGAGTCTCCAACTGCATCTAAAATCCCCCCCTGCTGCTCTCTCCCCATGTCTCTGCTGCCACCCAGGGCTCTCCCAAGCTCATGGGCCAGTGTTGCCCAGGGGTTCCCCAGTCACTCAGAACAAAGCTGGGAGCGGGGGGAGTGGCAGATGGATCAGAGCTGTGGAAGTGCTGCAGAGCCTGAATCCCCCTGTGGGGTGGGATGGCATGTGAATCCCAGTGGTCGAGCTGCTTCTCCTCGCCTCATCCTCCTCTGGTTCTGCAACACTGGCCTAGTCAGCCCTGCCCCCCGTTAATACCGCCTCATCCGTTCCACTTTTCTATTACAAGTTTATTTCCTTCATCCTATTAGAAGCTCCCTTGGCCCTTCCCCACCCCACATCCACTTTCCCCCAGCTGACCCATCTCCCTACTCTACCCTATAGTTAACCCACCAGCTCTCTCCCCAGCTCCGGATCCAGGCAATTTAGGTTGGCAGGGGGCTGCCCCCCGTTAATACCGCCTCATCCGTTCCACTTTTCTATTACAAGTTTATTTCCTTCATCCTATTAGAAGCTCCCTTGGCCCTTCCCCACCCCACATCCACTTTCCCCCAGCTGACCCATCTCCCTACTCTACCCTATAGTTAACCCACCAGCTCTCTCCCCAGCTCCGGATCCAGGCAATTTAGGTTGGCAGGGGGAGACAGAGCTCCCTGTTTAAAAGCCTGTCCCTCAAGGGTCCCACTCCAAGCCCTGCACTGCTCTGCCAATGCCATTCCAGTCTGCAGGGAGCTATGTGAGGGGGGGTCATGCAGGAGTGAAGAGGTGGCATCAGGGGGATAGGGCGGTAGAGGTGTTGGGTTATGGTGCTGTGCCAGGAGCCAAGGATATTGTGTTGAGATAATGGGGTGCATGAGGAGTGTGCTGGGAAGGGGAAGCACTGAGCTCAGTCTGAGCTATACTATATTGTGTGGGTCTGTTGTGGAGGGAGGTATCCCCTGTGTGATGTGCAAGTGGGGCTGTGGTGAGTGTATCAGGTCACAGGAGGCTGTGTTGTGTTGTGCTGTATATATCAGGTCACCCCACGCACCGAGCACAGGGGTTGTGTTGTAATGTGTATGTCAGGTTTCGCTGAGCATTAAGTGAGGGAGTTGTGTTGTGCATCTGGGATCACAGCAGGCCTGAACGAGGGGGTTGTGTTGTGTGCATGGCGTTATGCATTGTGCTTGGAATTTTTTTTGGCTTGAGTACTCTACTGGTAACAGCTGTTCTTTTAATGTAAAATGTTTCACCGGAATTTGCCAATTCCGACAACATTTTACATGGGGAGAAAACCCCAAATTGCTGATTGCCTCAGTTTCATGAAGGAAAAATGGTTGCTTTCAAATTTTATTATATTGGATCATTTCCTTTGGATTTGTGTATTTTATGAAAATATAAATCTACTTGCTATAAATATTAAAATATCAATAGTGCTGGAGGAACATTTGACATATTATAATAGATGTTGATATTTAATAGTGTAATGTATGCTCAGTGATATACAATATTGGATACATATAAATTACAATCTTAATCAATTACAAATTTTATTATATTGGATCATTTCCTTTGGATTTGTGTATTTTATGAAAATATAAATCTACTTGCTATAAATATTAAAATATCAATAGTGCTGGAGGAACATTTGACATATTATAATAGATGTTGATATTTAATAGTGTAATGTATGCTCAGTGATATACAATATTGGATACATATAAATTACAATCTTAATCAATTATATGTTGGATAAGTTAAAATTAAATGGACCAAAATGAGAAAATCAAAATGGCATCACTTTTTAATCAAACCCACATAACATTGAGGCCCTGATTTGCCATTTCAGGACATTCATTTTGCCTGAGATTTTGACTTTTTTTTTTTTTAATAAAAACAAAAATTAAACAGTGAGACTTGCCCAGCACTTGCAGTCCCTACCCACAGCAGTGGTTAGGCACTGGGTGAGGGAAGTTGTTTTGTGGGCTTTGGGGACAGAGGTGCTGCACAGCACATGAGAGGCGCTGTATTGTGGATTTTGCATGGGGTGGGGTGTGTACTGAACATGGTGCCAGAGGGGCTGTACTCGGTTTGTGCTGTGGTAGAAGAGGAGGGTTGCTTAGCATTGGGGTTAGGGAATTACTATTGGGGGGCTTTGTATGGGCATTCAGTCAAGGGGGTCTGTGGTGTTGCAAGGGAAATTGTATTGTGTGGGCATTGGGGGATGGGCAGCATGAAGGGGGGCTGTATTGAGGGGAGAGGAGTGGTATTGTGGGGGCTGTGTTGTGTTGAGGATGTGTATTATAGGGATTGGAAGAGGAGTGGCAATGTGGCGGGGGCTGTGTTGAGTAGCTGCTGCTGAAGTTTTAAAATATTAATAAAACAGTTTTTTAAAATATTAAAAATCAGCTCCCCTGCCCCTTTTTAGCCCCCCGCCCCTGCCCCATGACTCTCCCCAAGTCCTGCCTGCTACACCTTATTTTATAAATAGCCCAGATGATGCCCAACTAGGCAGCCCCTCCTCTCAATGGAAGCAAACCCAAGGTAAGTTGGGAGCAGCCCCCTGAATCCTTTCATTACCCGTGAGAGTAAATGCCCCACCGAGAGGCACCAACATCCCCCCCATGCTAGAAATCTGCCCTTCACCTTCAGAGTGGAAATCTCATGCCCTTTGTGCAGGAGGCAGTGCCTGGGGGTAGTGCTGGGAAGGGCAGGTGCAGAGAAGGGCGCTGTGTTGAGTAGGGCTACAGGGGGATTGGTAGGTGGGGGGGAAGGGGGATGAATGGGAGGGG